TTTTTTTCTTTGTTTTTGCTTTTTAATTTAATGTTGCTTTTTTTGGAGTGATCATTTCATCTAGTGTAATGTGATATGGCATTTAAATCAAGAATTATAGATTTTGAGTTGTGTGGTATTGCTGTGTTTCTTGCAATGATTTTGTTAAAACAAACCCAAATAACTTAATGTAAAGTCGATAACAGACCACATATTCTAAAGTACATCGTATTTTCCTTATCTCTTTAAAAAGGTTTATTGCTAGACAATGATGTAAGCAACATGCTTCATTACAATAGACTTCTGACGGTATGTATAATATAACTATGATCTTTAGTTATGTTGATTTTTGTTTTTCTTTGTAGGAATTTTAAATTTTAATAAAATTGTTGATGAGAGAATCAAAGCTTGATGAACCTTTTGTTTTCATAAAATTGAATTGGATGAATAAAAAGATTAACCAACAGACATATATGATCAATATGTGCTAGAAGTGTCTTTTTTCTCTTTCTTCTTTGAATTATAAAGCATTAAAGCTTGATTAATTTGATGTGTTGGTCACAATTCTTTTTTTATAGATGATGAATAGGTATTGCTTCATAAAAGAAGTCTTATATTACAAGCCTCACTTTAAGTAACTCTTTAAGGAGGCTAACAGTTACACAAAGAAATTTCAAGGTGAGATCATTTTTTTTCCAAACCAATTCTCTTCACCTAGCCAAGCATTAGTACTTTCTTTCATTTTTCATTTTCACTAACAATTTTTGCTTATTTGTAGTTTTTTAGCTAAGAAATTTGACAAGCCAAAAGGACTAGTACTCAAACTTTCTCCTATCAACAAGATAAGGGATATTTTAGCTTTGACAAGAGGTATGGTTAAATACTTCACATCTTTTCTTGTATTATCAATATTTAGCTCATACAAGTATTGAAATTTAATGTCTAATATCCTTTTTCTTAATAAAATTAAGATATTTTATATAATTTATGAACATACACAAATACTTAAGCAACCAACTCAGAAATTTAAAACAAGGAATCAACCATTTGACATAGTGCATAAACTAATAACAACTTTAGATATATGTGTGAATTAACTCAGTTTTTGGAGAAAAAAAAGTCTAGAACAAACAAGCATGTTATCCATCACTCTTAGGATATACTATTTAAATTAAGTAGGGAATCTCCTAAATGCCACTTGCTCATATAACTAGACACTATTTCAAATAGATTGTCAATAGTCGAATAATCATATTACATTTACTAAAACTATGCAACAAATAACATCTTCTTACCTATTAAAGCTATTAAGTTGAAGATTCTTTAACCCATTTCCAATTGATACAAGTAATTAATAAACCTATTGACCATACATTCCCATAAAAAGACGAGATTAAAATGATATCACATGTCAAGTAAACATCAAGTGCATCAAAGCAAATTAAGGAACAAAATTTTAGAACTAAAATACTATAACACAATCAACTTTCAAAGAAGTTTAAAACATGAAAAATATCAATAAGAGAATAGCATTTGATATAATGATTTATTCATCATCCAAAGAAACTAAATCATTTCTAAGCAACACATACATCAAAACAACAATATATATAATCAATAATCAATCAAATGCAAAATTTCAAAAATATATTAACTGCACCTATAAATGAAGTTGAAGCATCCTTTGAAATTGTAGTAAAATAGTAAGCAAAAAAGATTTTAATGTTAAAGCATTATAACATTCTAATTTTATCTTTCGAACTTTGAAATATTTAGCATCCTTTAGAATATTTAGCATTCTAAATATTTAATGGATAAATTTCTAAATATATTTTTTAAACTTTGAGCTTAACTCTTTAATGTTATAACATATATTAACTCCTTTTATTATAATGTTCTTTTCATTTTAAACTGTAAATATCATGAGTCACAGCAAAACGCAGGTCATTCTACTAGTAATAGGTAATAAATAATGTGTTCATATTTTCTCAATTATTCTAATTATTTGAAAACAAAATTTATTTAATAAATTTATTTATTTAATTGTTTAATTATTAAAAAATCATTGTGGTTTATTTCTTAAATGATTATTTTTAATTATTTAATTTGTTTAATTTTTTTATAATCTCTCTTTTACAAATTAATATTTTGATAAATTTAATTTATATAAAAATTAAAAGTAGGTAAATAAATAATAAAAAATGACTTAACAAATATTTAAATTGTTATTGTATAATCCAAAGAATCTCTATTATCCACATACATATTTATCTTTAAGAATATTCAATATTAAATAAAAATTAAATATAACTATTTATTAAATAAAAGGAGAAAAAAATTATACCAAATTAAAATAAATTTTAAGCTCAAACTCAAAATTAAAGAATAAGAGATCCTAACTATAATGGGCTCAGGCCTAATCAATCAAGGAATAAGAAGTCCACATCAGCTTTCAATCCAATTGAGCTCAACAATTAGATTGGAATGCAGGTGCAAGTTGTTGACTAAGCTATAGGCTTTTTTTTTCTTTTTTTTCACCCCTTAAACTATACATTTTGCACCTTTATAAATAACTCAAAAATTTTATTTTTTATTTCATTTTTCACCATATTCTTACTCTAAATACAAAAACTCTCGTCTTTCTCTTTAACAACACCGAAGTTCATAATAAAACCTAGACTATGATGGTATTCGCTAGCGCTGCCATGCCAATTCCTCACCAAAAGCCATCGAAATTTTTTTTTTAATTTAGATTTGGCAATTCGGATAGTTTTATCATGTAAAATATTAAAATCTATGCATTTACATTATATTTTATATAAAAATTACATATTATAATTTGTATCGATATAAAAGTATAAAATACATTTATTTTTGTTTTGCGAAACCCATATATATTTACTATTAAAATTTTAAGTCGTATTATTTTTATATCCTATTTTTTTATCGCATTCATGTCACGTCACCTTATCTTATTTTAAATTGTTAGGTCTTTTTCATCCTTTTTCCACTTTTCCAATTAGTTTTCTAAAAATCTAATAGATTTTTCTAGATCTAAAGCTAAAATCAATGACCTTCCTCCCAAAAAACCCATCTCCATCATTCAAAATGCCTCCAACTCTTAATATGTTCTTTCTTTAATCCTTTACTCCCTCATCATCAAGTTAAGTGTCCTGAAATCCTCTAGAAAACTTCAACCGAAACCTTTTTCTGATTTTTTTTATTATGTGCTTTGGGTGGTTTACTCTTAACATGGATGATGCTATTTTTTTATGGTTTTTAGTTGATTGGCATATTTTAGAGTACATGATAAGTTTGGCTATTGAGGGACTGATTTTTTTATATTTGTATAAATTAAATTTTTATTATTTATATTTTATTTTATTTTATTTTATGTTAATTAAAAGATAAAATAATAATTTTATAATGTTTGAAGGATAAAATAATAATTATATAAATTTAACAAATATTAAGATATTATCTCTTAAAATTAATTTTAATATCTTATTGATTATTGATTAATTGATAAGATTATTGCCAAAGTTTTGGTCCATATATCATACTACCTTGGTTTTTGGTATATTAATTACTGATAACGTGCCTATCAAGTAGTTCAAAGGCAAACTCGAGGAATGAGCATAACTTTTAAATTCATCAGCTGTTGGTTTAATGTTTCTCCTCCTAATTTTTTTGGTATATGGATTATGATTCTGGTAACAATTAGGCCATACTCGACAAAAGACAAAAAAAGTAGTATCAAATTTGAGGAATTAAAAGGATGGTTGTCTGTCTAACAATGTCGATTACTTAAAGGCTCTTTGTTGAATTTTTCCTTATAGCAAGTATATTGTTTTTTCCTTTTCTTATTCATACTAAAAATTATTCTTCCACTTCAAATGCATTAAGATAGTATTTGGTATCTTTTGTAAGATTATTATGATAATATAATTATCAAGGTCGTGATCTTATTACTAACACTATACTTGGATTGAGGGGAGAGGAAGGAAAGGAAAGG